GAGATCCACTCTCAAGATCTTGAACTCCACAGAATAACAACTGGCTATCAGTATCTGATGATTCCCAATAAGGATTAAACCAGTAATTCAGGGTCTTCTGGAGCATACTGTAATTCAATACTTTGGGAATTTTACATTTACATGTAACATAGATCAATATGCTTAGCATATGACCCTAATTACTTACCCCAGTTCAAATTTGAAAATACTGTTAATACCTCACTGCTAATACAACAAATGTATATTACATTAAAAGAGAACATATGCGACATAAAAGAAACGTAATAACGTGCTGTCAAACAAAGTATATTTCTAATTAGAGATCTCCTTATCAAACTCCTTTAACTTCATGTCTATTGTTCAATTCAATCTCACAATTTAAAGAGCACCATTCTGTCTGCACATATGCAAAATGATTTTGCACTTATTTTTCTGACCTTCAACTTCCTTCCTACCTGCCACTGTGACTTTTCAAACACAACAAAATAATTGTACCCTCACTGTTGAGGAATCGCAATGCCCTTCCTTCTTTCCTTCCTTCCTTCCTTCCTTCCTTCCTTCCTTCCTTCCTTCCTTCCTTCCTTCCTTCCTTCCCTCCCTCCCTCCCTCCCTCCCTCCCTCCCTAATATAGCCCCAAATCTGTACTCTTTCAAGAGCAGCGATAATCTTCAACTGTTTTGAGCAAAATAAGTGAATGTTTTGATTCAAAAATTCCCAAATATCAAACATTAATATAAAACTATTTGAATTTTAAAAGTTCAATAATCCACTATGTTAATTTAAAGAGAAAAAAAATGTCCAGAGAACCACATAAAGAATACTTAGTTCTGTGTGAATAAATTTTGAGCTACTTTTTATAAAATAGTCCTTCCCCATAAAGCAAACTGAAAGGTTCCAGTGATATACCCAAGGCATACCTATTTTCATTTAAAGGAAAAACAAAGAAATCTAATGAAAAGGGCTTCATGTGACTAATGAGAAAAGTCTATTGGAATGTATAGTCTACATTGGAATGGACTGATTCCAATAGAGACATTTAATTGAGATGCATACTATGGGTGTTTTTTTCATTACAGACAATGCAGTAAGGTAGAGTAATGCTTCCTCCAATATGCTTGATGGACCAAGAGGCCTAAAATCATGTGTTCTTTTGAATGTAGATAAGCCATCATATAGAAATAATTGCTGCTTGTGGGGAAGCTGTTGAACTCATGTTACCTAGCTTAGTAATGAAAAGTCTGCAAGAAAGCAAAAAAGCTCAGAGAGCACCAGGGATCCCACAGTTCAACTCTGAATTTTAAATATTCTCTTTTTAATCAGCAATTCCTACTTGTTTCAATATAATGTGCTGGCTGCATTATCTGTCAATAGATCTCTAAGATCTACCGATCTCAGTAACAGTCCTTTACCAGTTAGTACAGAACTGTATGCTTTCTGGTTAGTTTGTAGGGCTGCTCCACCCTTTTCCAAACCTGGGGAGAAGAAACTAAAGAAAAAAAACTTCAATTGTGTTCATCACAATACAATATTTCTATATGTTTACCTCATTGTTGATAAGCAGACAGTATCTTACCAGAAATGAAAATACGAAAAAACTGAGTAAAATAAACATCATCATTTTCCAACTTCAGTCTAGGCCTAGGCCCTAGATTGAAAGAAAGCTATAATCATCCTAGTATTTTCTTACCATGATGCTTCACTCTGCAAAACAAAAGCCTCCTTGTGAGATAGCACAAAATAATATTTCATCTCTGGCTCCCATTCTCATGCAATACTAAACTTCACTCATAAACAATTTGCATATCTACCAGTTTAGTATAACGGCCTACAGAAAATGTTTTTGACATTTCTCGTAATATTGTTTCACACTTCATTATATTATTGACTAGTAAATGCACTAGAAAATAAAAAGTGTACTTAAATACTGCTTAAGCTACCTGAACAGTGGAGAGGAAAAACACAAGTCAAGACAGATTCAAACAGGGGAACAAAACCCCTGGTGTATAAGAATACCGAGGCCTTTGAATAGCTGCAATAATGTTCTTTGTCCTGATGGACAGCCAAAACATATAAGCTGAATTGTATCATCTCGCTACTTCTTCAGTCTGGAGACCTGATACAACCTCATCTATTTTCAGAGAAAACTTTTTGACATCAGTCTTGGAAAGGAAGGGTTTAGGCTAAACTCCCTTTCAACGCCACAAATGTGTTTTTGCAATTAAAGCTGTCCAATTATCATTGACAAGTCCAAATCACCCTGAGCTGTTCAGAAGCTCTGCTTCTCAGTGCCTCCAGCAAAACCCTGCAGGCAAAGGTATGGTTTGGGGAGGGGGGGGAATAGGGGAAAGAAATCTCTCTCATTATTTAACAACTTGTTTGGATTCCACTGTATTACTTTTAGAATAATTGATTCTATGAGAAGAATGCTTTCTCCGTTTTAATTTCCTGGCTCAATGCCCAACCTCTTGCAGTTGTTTCTTCATGCAGATAAAATATTCAACAAAAGCAGTTCAACAAAAAGATGCACTTTTTAGCATCTTATTATTTGAATCTCATTCTAATTCTACTACAATAAAATAGACTTAATAGAAAATACCCACTTTGTCTTTAAACCTCTTCCTCCCCCCCCCCAACACACACAAAAATATATTTGTTTGCTACCTCACTTCTTCCAACTGTTTGGCATAGAGGAAAGGAAAGGCTTCCACCTTCATATGGCAGAGGAAAAAGTAGTCAATAGATTCCTTTCTAACGTCTGCTCAGTTTTTGCGGTCTATGACAACTATCCATGGCCAACTCACCACGGAACAATTCAGTGCAGGACACGAGTTACAGTAATGTCAAAGAAATAGTCAAATAGAATCATTAAGGAAAGGATGCCAAAGGAGGGACACAATAAAATGTGAATGATAAAAATTAAAATAATGTTTTAATTCTTTTAAATAATTAAATTGAACTGTTGAATTGTCCCACAGCGAGTTGTCCTGAGGTGAGTTGGCCATGGCGGGTTGTCTCATTCTGCAATTATTCTATATATGTTAACATGATAATAAATGTTAAGGTGAATTGATAGTCACTTCTTACAAACACTTTTTCAGAGCTTAAAAGACAAAATATTTAATATATTTTTTAGAGTAAAGCTCAAGTACAACTTGTTTAGCTAAGAAAGTTATCTCTAAAGCATACGCTGGTGTGTGTGGAAATCAAGCTAAAGCAACACTTTAAAATGAATTATTTGTCCTTTTTGTAACTTTGTTTTTAAATGTAACTATAAAATGCAAACATAGTTCCCCTTTTTTGTGAGGTAACAATAAAAGGTGAAGTTTGCAGGTTTTGTTAGAAGTATGCTGAACCTAATTTTGATCTATTTCTATTTATATACAAATATACATAATAACAAAGTTCACAACATTTATGCTTTTTCTTAAGAACTATAGAAAAAAATTCTATGAGCAGTTTTTAAAATCCATCTTAAGAGTTTTTTCCTTCAAAATATAACATCAACACAAAAGATGAATTATCTGTCAACTGGGCAGCATACAAATGTTTTTACCTTCTAGGCTAAGGGGTAACATGTTAACTCAGGGACATCATCCAGTTACTTCTCCTTTTGTATAACTTAATAAATAAAACCAATGTGAATTCATAAAAAAATAAAATCCAGCGAATTGATTCAGTTGCCAGGCTGGGGAACTCTATAGAATACAGGTATTCTACATATCTATATGTCCAGAGTGGTATAAGGTTAACTATGTGAGCAGGGGGTTGGACTAGAAGATCTCCAAGGTCCCTTCCAAATCTGTAAAATAATTTGGATTTTCTAAGGCTTACATAATATAATAATCCAATAATTTAAAAAAATACAGGTGGCGGAGCTTTATTTTCAGAATATAAAGAAACCATTAGCAACTTCAAAGCTATACATATTGATTATATAAGTATGTGGTCTCTTCCAGAAATGCCATTTAATAAATGTATGGTAGGCATGGGAGTATTCTCACATAGTTTAAAAAAAAAACCATGGGAATCAACAATTTGTGTGTAAAATGTTTCACTAGTTCTAATGAATACATAAATTATAAATTATCAGTACTTTCCCTTGTTTTTAAAAGTCTTTAGAGGTCAATCTTTTTTTTTATTGCCACTGGTATATAAATTATCATCTTACTTTAATGTTGGCCTTACCGAACAAGATTTTTCTAAGCTTGGACTGAAAGCACTTTTCTGCTTTAGGACCAAACCACTGCTTCGAGAAGGACTAAGAAACTTAAGAGTCTAACATTACATGCAGTTCTTATTTTATTTCAGAACAATCCAAGATCACCATTCTGAAATTCAGCATACATAGGAACAATTTTCTCTCTCACCTCCCACCACACAATATTGGACAACTAAATTTATCAGGATTGGATTTTGAAACTTTCCAGCTTCTCTCCAAAAGAGCCAAAAATAGTAAGCTTGCTTTCTCAACAGAGAGACTACTGATCTTCAAGAATAAAATATGTATCTTAAAAATATAATTTGATCAGAAAGTTTCTTGTCCTAGTTTACAAAGAAAGTAATTCTTGATGAAATAAAATACAATTAAATCAATTTCAGTTTCTTCTAATTCTATTGTTCAATTGAAGATACCACCACCACCACCATCATCATCATCATCCATATTAAGTCTCCAGCTTTGTAATAACTTCTGCATTCTAAATGAAAGTTGAGCTATTGTCGAGTTTCAAAATGAAGATTTTCAAAAATATATTATAGTTGATATATTATATTATTCATATTATATGTTATATTTCAAATAACAATAAATTAACATTCACCAGAAAATATACACATTTTAATTAGTTAGGGTTTCATCTTAAACTTACCTATTGAAGAGTTACATATGTATATATACTTCTTATGTTTTCAAGGGTGTATTTTTAAAAAACTATTTTTTTAATACTTCAATGAAGAATATTCTTAATTTAAATGGATATTAGGAAAAGAGAAGCTCTTACCGTATCACCAGGTTTTATGGATATTGCCACTACTACTCCAGGCATTGGGGCTCTTATGATAGATGTGGTATCCTTCGTAACTTTTTCTTGCATGTATTTGCTCAGTTCTGCAGCAAGTTTGGTCAATACACGCAATTTGTACTTGGAAAAAGGAGAAGAGATGAGAAAGAACTGTTACAAAAGCAAATTATATCCAAAACAGTATTATTTTTTAAAAAGAACATAATATCTAAAATCTTGAACAAGTATGTTGTGTTGATATCTTAATCTTGGGATGACACTTGAGAAATTAAAAAAAAGTTGCATTTTTAAAGGATATTGGAAACAATGTGCAATATACTTGGCTAAATTTGATAAGTCATTTAAAATACTGTTGGGTCATCCCTAAAATAGAAAACATAATTTGCATCTTTAATAAAATAATTATTTTAAAACGTATCTGTATTGTAGATTTCATTATATATAATCCAGTATTTGTCATTATATAGTTTAACAAAATAAACCAAATTTTGTCTTTCTGCATGTTTGAGTGTTGTAAACATTTTCTAATTTTATTTTGTACACTACAAACCTTAACCAAAATGATTGTCTTATTTTAATACCGATTATATACTATATTTTTCTCTCTCCATCTTCTGCCAGTCATGCTTCCAAAAATAGATATGTAAATGTAAGAAAATAGATTAACTTATCCAAGAGGTATATTCTTATTAATGTACAAAAATCAAGATATTCCGCCATGAATCAAAAACATGAAACAAAAAGAAAGTTATAGTTTTATTTTTTCCCCTAAAAAAGCCCACATGTTGCAATCTCTTAGATCATCAGATTCTGAAAATCCAAGTTCAATTTAAGTAGACTATCAAAATAATCAGAAGTACAAGCTATGCTAAATAAGTAAATGTTTTTAACTCATATAAACTTTCTGTGCTTTGCAAATAGGTTTGCTTCTGTGTAAATTTTTATGTTAATGTAACCAAAATGACCAACAATTTTTTTAAGAGGGAAAAAGTTATTCTCCGTTTTTACTACTTACTAATACATTTTACATAATCACCAAAATTCCAGTGATTTGATCTTCCCACTAGATTCTTTTCCTTTAACATTTTTTATATGGCATCTGTTTTTAAAACTTGTTCTGGACATTGCTTCTAGGCCTCCAGCAGATGGCAGCAGGAGTCCACCAGAAACTTTATCTTTGGCCATCAGCAGACAAAAGAACAAATGCAGCTCTTCCACTAATGACTGGTTTTAGTTTTTAAAAAATGTGGGTGTAGGAAGGGCAGATAATAATCTAATATACACTGAGACCAGCCAGCCATAATATCTAGGATTTCTGATTATTTTAACTCATTTTTCACTATTAGAGCCTTAAGCAATTTAATAGTTTCAGAATGCAAATAAAATAAAATATTTTAGCTTCAATAACCAATAACCATCATTTTCAAACATCTCAAGGCATTTGCTACATTGTTCTATCTGAGGAAGGATCTCTGCCCATTGAAAAGCAATGTATAATCAGGGTTATGCCTAATATCATATATAATATTATATAATACTGTAAAACAAACTAATTAATAGTGTTTGGCTACTGAATCTCAGGACCCATTCTCAAACTGATCTTTTAGAAATAATTAGACATAACCTTATAAGCATAAGCCCATTTCACCCTGAAAAAGCAGACTGTATTGGGTGCAGGTCTAGCAAACCAATCTCCAATGATCTATAACATCTATTGCAATGGAATGATGGACATGTTTAAGAGAAAATGCTCATTATTTCCAGATTTCTCAGTTTAAGTTGTAAAGAATACCGTTTAAATCCTCTGATTTATCCACAAAGTAATAATATAACTAGGGACAGGCTTGGGAGCTACTGTTCTTTAACCTAATAGTTTACATTTTATTTCTTGGTTACCTGAAGAGCACTCAGTCCATCAAGACATAGCAAAGAGAAGATCAAAGTGATAATACATTTCATGCTCTTATATAATTATTATTCATTTTTGTGAGGTTTCAAAATCTCTCTCTAACAGGGAGAGGGAGCATTAGGTATACCAGCTTGAGTTATCCAAAATAAAGATAGGATATAAAATGAATGAATGAATAAATAAAGTATTAGTTTTATTTTATTGTGCTGTTGTGTGCTCTGTATATAATCCATTTTAAAAAAGTTACTCCACAAAAAACCAAGATGGATACACTTTTGAAAAAAAAAATACTCTGCAATTCCTTTATAATCAAAGCTAAGCTAAACAACAGTGCTTGCTCTCGCTCTTCTCTTTCTCTCTCTTCCCCTCTCTCCCTCCCTTCTTCACACATATATAGACACACAAACTAAGCACCCATATACAGTAGAAATCAACACTTATGCAGAAATCAGCAAGGAAATCACCAAATAAAATCTTCAACATAATTATTCCACGCTGTAATAATGTTTATTGCATTTTGCTTCACAACACTCAGTTAAAAACTGTTTTTATTGCCTTTTATATAACTGGGATTACTACCACCCAGATAGATTATTATTGTGAAGACAACGTTTTAATTTACACTATGTGTACCATTTATGTTATTCACTGATTTATAGAGAAATACACATCTAAAAATACGTAGACTTTACACATTTCCTTGAGACCCCCTCCACACACAAAACCTCCTCTCACACTAGCTTCCTTATTTTAAAAAATCCCTCCCCACCACAAACACATATGCATCCCACAAACACAAAATGGGTTAGTTTTGATAAAAACAATCTATTTGGATTTCCTATAATAAAGACTGTTGTGATACATGCAGGCATCTGAATAAGAACCACAAATTAATAAAATACATAGAAGAGATTATAATGGATCCGAGCTGTTAATACTGTTCTAAAAACTAAGTGTTAGCTGTTATCTTTTTATATCTAATTTTTTAAAATTAAAGTGTCTTGAAATATAAGTTTGTTAATTGCAATTTATAATTTCCTAGGAAGAAAAATATTTTTCAATTCAAGCAAAATGATCATCAGTGCCCTAGAAATGCACATCTGCAACAAAGAACATAGGAAGGGACCTTAATGGAATTTATTGCAAAAGTTATCAGAATTTCTATCTTCCACAACAGGCCAAATAACATACTCTACTTGCTCCTATATTGCACTGTGAGTTTTCAATCAAGTTGTACTAATATCTGATGGTATTTAAAGGATAAGATTCTTTCCGGAAATTATAATGCCAATAGTTTTCTTCCTTCTGTTAAAATCTAAGTTACATGGAAAGACAAAAAAAGCTTCCAAAATAAATTATAATACCAATTCTTTGCAAAATCCATTCATCAAAAGATGAATTATCATCGTATAAAATTATACCTGAGAGAACGTAATGTGTATCAAAATGTACACTTTCAAGATCTAAAGAAATGCCTTTTTTAGATGTAGTTTGGAAATGTTGATAAAAAAATAGCCACCTTAGAAAGAAACACAAATCAAGTTAGATCTCTAGGTCAACATCAGAAATGATATGCTACCTGGCTTCATACTGCAAAATACGTTTCATTTTGGTATATTGTTAGGCTTTTAAAAAACTGTAGCACTTCAAAAGTAAGCTTTACATATTTCTGAAAGTATCTCAAGTTTGTAACATTAAATGGAAAATAGTTTCAGTTCTCATAATCAACCAGTACCAGAGAATATGAGATTCTGAAAGTGTCTCCTAACTGCTATGTAGCACAAGCTTCCTTGTCTCCATTATGTCCCCTACCAATCCTTCTGCTTATTCCTATTTTAGCATTCCCCTCTCTTCTGGATATTTTCTCTGCAGGACTCTTGCTTTGCTTGGAATGAGATGAGAGAGCCAGTAAGCAAAAAGGCTTTTAAAATGCAGGCCTTTGTTATTGATGAGTTATTCCCTTTCCTTTTGTATTTGTTTATTGTTCTTTGGCTTGTTTGGGGGGGGGGAGAAAAGGAGCTATTGTAATGGGTTTTGTTTTTTTAAAAAGTTAACTTCAGCAGTGAACTTTTGGGGGGAAATCCTTTGGGAGCAGAGTTATGGACATGGACACAAAAAAGCCCTTATGGACACAGAACGCCAAAAGTGTTATAAAGCGGATCTTTTTTTAAAAAAAAAATGCGATTGGGTGAATATTTTGCCTTCAATGAATCCCAGTTAATGTCATGTCCTCCAAAAAGTATTCCTTCATCCAATAGTTTCTCAGTTTAAGAATGAATGGTCTGAACCAGAAGGATCTATGGATTGGGAGGCACATATCAAAGATGTTAACATCTGGGCTGGTTCAAAGGAGAAATGTAACTTTAGGACATGTAAATGTGAAGAATGTGAGACGATCAGAACTGATCAATACCTGGCTCTGAAAAAAAGTGGACTGAAAGCTTTCTAGCATCACCAGCAGCACAACTACTCCTTGATTGTAAGTCGGATGAACTGAAAAGTGAATAAGCCTACGTGAGAAAGGAAGGATTTTAAACTTTAAAAGGAAGCAAAGACTGAGTGAGGAATGTTGCAGACTAGTTGAATTAGCTAATTGAAGTAGCTGAGGGATAGCATGAATTAGGAATTGCAAACAGAAAATATAATTGCAAAGAAAAATAATACTGACAACAACCTACCTCTAACGAGTCAACCCTTGCATCATTCAAAGTTCTTGTGGTAGAGGCTAGATTTGCCAGTTACACTCAAACATGCTAAGCAAGGAGAACTCCATAAGAAGAACTAAGCCTTACAAAGTAAAGTTAAGTTAAGGTTGACCAATCACAATCAAAAGCACACAGAAATAGACTGTGTGCAGTTATAACACAGACAAGGTAAAATGAACAGATAACACTCAGCTGTTTGAATAGCAGCGCTCTGTACATCTGCAGTCAGTGGAGCAGTCTGTTAGCATAATGCTTTGACAACTCCATCAGTGTAGTCTCAAGGTTCCTGTCAATCAGGATGCATCATTTAATACAACAGCACTCAAAGGATTTTCCCTCCTATAAGCCAAATGACAGCATATCTACAGCTCTATTTACACCAGCACTTACTTCTGTTTACAAGGCTCTCGTAATTAGAAAGTATGCAACAGGCAGCAATATTATTCAGATCTCCATTTTGCCAGCCTGCCATGCAAAGTGTGATCTTACTTCACAGAGTCATGCTA